GTGGAAATAATATAACAAAACGTCTCCACGATGCAAGAGGAGTTCTAATTGGGGATGTAAGTTACAAAAATATACAAATTACTTAAACTCAATTTTAAAGAAAACCTACACCACAATATATCGGCTTTGATATAAAAGTTTAGTTTCCATGGAACACGTTCTTACAGAATACCGGCGTAAAATATCAGCTCAATGCTGCTGTGATTCGTATGGCGAGTGTAGAGAGCCGGAAACCGTTCTTACTGGAAAAGAGATGTAACATCTTCCACCGTCGTCCTCAGGGATGATAACGCATCTGCATTTTGATTCTTAATCGAGGATAGATGTAGATGTCTATAGGCCATAGCATCTTAATACCATTAGGTGGACTGTGTGATGGTCTGTCACCCATATTCTATAACAAAAATTATTTAATAACTGTTACCGTAACAGCCTATCAAAAGTACACTGCTGAACTCAGGCCTCCTCCATACATTAACTCATAAGAGGATATTTGCCATAGCTGCCACGCTTAGTGGGTGGGTTGGCAACAGCAGCTTTGTTTAGTTGTTATAAGGAAGACGCTGCTGCTTATCACCTGGTATGTTTCCCTCTGAGGCAACTTTTACGACACCCACGGGACGCTACTACATGTTTAATCTGTCAATTAACGATGTTAAAACTGTTAATATATCCTATACAAAAAGCGTCAGTTAGATAAAATAGCCACACAGAGTCTGAATTTAAAAGAAGTTCTGTGGTGAAGGACAGTCAACTATTTGGATGTCACAATCGACAAAAAATTTAATTTGACATGTGTGGATTTTGACGGGCTGTTGAAGGAGTAAAATTAAACTAGTTATTACAGATTTTTTTAATAAACGGGTACGGTACGGTATTTTATCACGTTTAATTAACTTATTGTATATTCCCGATGATTCGGGCGCTTAATAGCACCCACCGCCACGGTAGGACTGAGGAGTTCCGCGTCACAATGTCAAATTAACTGCAGCTAATGCCAACCAAAAATATTAAATTTTGGTCCGATCTATGCCCATAAATATACTTGTAGTAACTTTAAATCTTGGAGTGCAGTGGTGTGCTTGAGTTGGGATTGAATTTTTATTAATGATATGATCTCAAGCAGATTGTACCACCTTGACATCTAAGCTATTGATATTAGGTTGTTTGTTGATTTCAATAGCCCTGAGAATCTTGCTTGGTATGGATCGGTGTTCTTTCTCGAGGATTTGTGGTCATCCAAACATTGTGTAATATCAGGGACAATCCTGTACGCATTCAGAGACTAAAAACTTCCCGGAGCGTCGATTTTTCACATCAGCTATGTGTTCTTATACACGGGTTTTTATTGATGTTTCACTTTGTCTTATGTTAAAGAGACCACATTCAAAATCAAGCTAAGAACACTGTGCATCATGCAGAAGGATACTATACTGAACGAATGGTAAGAACTGGCAAACCTTCGCTCGGCTGTAGCCGATTTCACTCGTTCACTGTAATGCAGGCACAGGATTCAAAGCTGGTTGTAAAAATTTGCTTGACGTGCTGGGGCTCAGTGACCAGGAACTTACTGTCACAGATTCCTCTTGCACTCTGAAGCAATGATTTTCACACGATAGCTAACTGTAAAGGATGGTGGTGTGATTCAGCATTTAAATATCGGTTAGTGTGGGTCTTTATTCTATACATAGTGTGCCAAGATGTTATCATGGTTCCAAATTATTAATACAATAGGAAAAGGTAAAAAATTATTTGCCTTCAAATCCAATGTGAACTGAATTTTAGAATGTATGGTGTTAAGAGGGTTTAAAAATGCATACATTATCTAATAGTAGAATTATCGCCTGCATATTGCTAAATCACTAATCCTGTATTTATTGGAGAAATAAGAAAGGCTTTCTCCTTATAGTCCTCTATAATTATATCGGCTATTATCGAGATAAAGGTAAGCTTATCACCACACCATCTACTAGCTTATAGAACTCTTCCTTCCACAACAAGTAGTCAAATGTGAGGTAATGTCTGAGTAATACTGCATATTCTACGGGCATGTTTTTTTTACAGCTTTCTAGTCACAATTGAGACGCAGGCTTCGACACGTACGCATATGAACAGTAGCAGGTCTTTAATCTCGCTGAGAAAATTGTAAGACTCATTTGTGTGTGCTCTCGTGTGTCCGTTGAAAGTAATTTCGCTAAGTGTTAAGCTATGGGGTTATGTATTTTTGTTAACCCATAAAACGTTGCTGTTATAAACCTACGTACAGATTTAATTTTTCCGAGTCTTTCCTTATGTAATCACTAGTTGTTTTAAGTGTTTTATTTGTTGGATCGTTTTTAACCTATTTATATCCGACAAAAATTCTTGAAGAAGAAGACTTTTAGTGTTGTCGGCTACGAAGGGAATAGTATAGCTCGTGTAATATAAAATTTCAAGGCAATTCAAAGGCAATATCAAAGGCAAAACTTTTATTAAGTTTAGTCTCTTTTGAAGTTTTAATTCCATTTTGCATTAGTGAATTATTTAGACTGAAAAAAAAAGAACGAAAATTATTAAATATTACACAATTATTCATATTTGAAGTAGAAAGTGCAATCTCATAGACAATTAAAGTTGAGATTAAATTCTCTATGTATATACTGAAATCGTCCTCGTCGTAAATTTTGGACCTTGAGCACGTGAGTACCATGTCTTTTAAATTGTGATTTTTCAGTTATTTTTGTACCGTGTGTGTAATTATTTAAGTTAAAATATTTCATGGATTACATTTTTAATAGAATAAATTTTTCTGAAATCAAGGTGAAAATAAGTCTTGAAAATACCGCAGCATTAGGTGCCAAATATTTCAGCAGCTTCCTTGTTCCGATGTATACCGCCGAATAGCGATTTCAGATACTTAATGTCTTTTTTAATTTTCAGGGTTTTTATTATGATTCCCGCTTTTGGTTAGAAATTTTAAAAAGACAATTAATACTAAAATCTATTTCCAAGGTACACTTTTGCCTTTCATTCACTAATTATAATATCATGTCAAAAGTGATCTTCTATTTACATATTTTGTTAATTCATTGTATGGGAAAGCTACGACGGGAGGTTAAAAATTTCGCGGAATGGCGGGGTTGGCGAGGGTGAGTTTATTCATCCAGGTAGGTGCTAGTCGAGTGACTAATTATTAGTACATATACCAAGTTTCAGCCTAACCTTTTTACATTAGCTTTTGAGTTATCAACGAGTAAACAAGTCAATCGGACGAAACTAGCCACTATGGAGAAAATTGAATATCGCGCCGTCATTAAGTTTATCACCAAATAAGGAAAGACACCTCGAACCATTTTTCAAGAGATGTCAGCTGTTTATGGGGACCCGCTCCTAGAAAAACCATGATTTATGAATGGCACGCCCTTTTCGAACAAGGGAGGGACTCCATTGAAGACAACCCCCGACCTGCACGGCCGATTGAGGCTACCACGCCAGAAATAATCGAAAAAGTTGAAAAACTTGTATCGAAAGATTTCATTTTAAACATCCTAAAACCTTAAGTCTGTGCATGATGAGTTCCGAGAATGCTTTCTGCGCATCAAAAACACGAGCGCATCGAAAGTCGTCGCGAGTTTTTGGACCGCTGTGGAGAGTAAAAGAAGGAAGTTATGGCACGAAATATATAAAATTTGGGTTCACCATTATGAACCTGAGTCAAAACAAGAGTCAATGCAGTGGCATAAAAAAGTTACACCCCCTCCTATAAGTATAAGGTGTTTCAATCGGCTGGAAAGATCAAGGCGACGATATTTTGGGAGACAGAATGTGTCCTTTTGATTGATTATAATGAACGTAGTGTTTCCATAACAAGAGAATACAACGCTTCTTTACTAGATCAATTAAAAGAAGCTATTAAAAAAAGGCGAAGAAAGCTTACAAAAGGCGTGCTCCTTTTGCAAGACAATTCGCCCGTGCACACAAGCCATGTTGCGACGGTTGCCATTCACCGGTGCGGTTTTGAACAACTGCGCCACCCACCCTACAGCCCATACCTGGCCCCAAGCGACTTTTATTTGTTTCCAAGAATGAAGAAAGAACTGTGTGGGAAAAAAATAATTATAAATATTCCTCGCAAATACATAAGTAAAATACAGAGATGCACTTTCCGTCAGATTCAATAACGCATTGGTTCCTATTTTCTTTACAAGAACTTTCATATACTTAGATGAAAGTTGTTTTTTATTTTAGTGCACCCTACCCATTGTTCTTTTTCCTTATTTTGTATTTATTTCTTCTTCTGGGTTGTGTGGAAGAGATTGCTATGTAGCAATAAGATCGCCCTTTGTATTTCCCTCAATAGTTATTGTTACAGCCTACGGCGGCTCCCTTAAAGGATCAAATCCTCCGGGGCCCATGAGCAGAAGACTTCCCGAGCAGACGTAGGTCGGGCCTCAATGTGGCCACGTGGAATCTCTCGAATTACACTAAAATATATGGGGGAGCGTTCTATACTACGGCCAGTCGACCGGGAGGAATTAGACGGAGCTTACTTATCTATATTCAAGGCGCCTGGTCCCTCCGGAGTCGGTCTGGTCGCATGTGTTTGTGTAGTGCAAGGGAAATCAGGTGATGTGATGTGTAGCTGGGTGTGACTGATGGTGATTGAACCTAGACCTTGGCCGTCGGCAGCAGCCCGAGCGTTGACACACGCTCCAACTTGAGGGGGCCTTCCGAGGTTGTCCACAGTCACTTTCCTCTTTCGTCACGATGACAGTCAATTAACTCTATCGTACGATTAACTAACTTACAGAAGCCACTAACTATCGCTGGGTATAAAGTTAACGCACAAAACGCACACGGAGTTTACGGATCAAAGGTCACTACCGTTTCGCGTAGCAACAGTTAGTTCTAGAATATCAGGCCGCACTAGCTAATATTATCGAATGTACTTATACAGATTCTGAGTCGGACCCAATAAGTCCCGGGAAAGGCTATCCAACAAGGAATGCGCGTTATAAATCCTAGACAGGATATTTACTAGACGCCCTAACTATTCCGCGGTTCCCGCACAAAAATTGACAGCGTGCAGACATTAGCACAGCTAGCAGACGACTTTTGCGCTTGCGCGTCCTACGTGCGACCGAATGTCAGACCGGTACTGCACCGAGCCGCGCGCCCTCTGACGTCGATTCCGAAACCACCGTTCGAGCGTAAACCGTTATTATTTTTTATTTTTGATGTTGTTATCTTTTCTTGGTGTACAATAAAGAGTATTTTATTGTATTGTAAAGTTGTAACCATTTATGAATAATAATTCACAAACTAAGTTATATCATTTTATTCAATATCGTGCTTTAGAAAGTGCCACATATTGTTTGTATTACTACTGTAATAATATGACGAGTATTAAAATAAATAAATTTGATTAGCTTGGTATATTAGTAGTTATCATCATCATCATCATTACAGCCTTTCATAAGTCCACTGTTGAACATAGGCCTCCCCCAAGGAATGCCACAAATCACGGTCCTGAGCCACCTGCATCCATCGACTTCCTGCATGTCTTACCAGGTCGTCACTCCATCTCGTGGGGGGTTGCCCTACACTTCGCCTACCGGTACGAGGCTGCCACTCGAGAACCTTTCTTCACCATCGGTTGTCGGTTCTTCGAGCTATATATATATATTAATAATAATAGGATTTTATTACGTAAGTGTAGTGGCGGTTAAGAATATCCACTACCCCATATCTTCCCGTGGGTGTTGTGAAAGGCGACAAAGGGAAATAGGCAGGAGATGGGCAGCAGCATCTTCCTGATAACAGCAAAAATACAATAAAAAAACTGCGTTGCCAACCCGCTCGCCAAGCGTGGCAACTATGGCAAATACCCCCCAAACGGATAAAGTTACTAAGAGACGGCCCCCAGTCTCCGGTTGCCCCGCTATTCCTGGCTACGGTGGCGACCATGGTAACGGCGGGGCAGAGGGTGCTAAGAATCTCCGGTGGAGGTTTGGTTGCCACCTACGATGACTCGACCTGGCAACATACAACGCACGCACCCTGAGGACTGACGAGAAGATTGTAGAGCTGGAAGAAGATATAGACAAGTTACGTTGGTATATTATAGGATTATCCGAAGTCCGAAAAGAAGGGGAGGAAACGGTAATCCTCGAATCCGGCAACTTGTTCTATTACCGGGAGGGCGACCATCTGTCCCAAGGAGGTGTCGGATTTATCGTCCACAAGTCTCTCGTTAACAACGTTGTAAAGATTGAGAGTGTGTCGACGACGGTTGCGTACCTTATACTCAGAATTACCAAACGGTATTCGCTGAAGGTCATACAGGTTTACGCACCAACCTCGGCACATCCCGATGTGGAGGAGTAGGAAATGTATGAGGATATCTTTAGAGCCATATATCGCTCCAAAACCCACTATATGGTGTTAATGGGAGACTTCAATGCAAAACTAGGCACAAGAGAGAACGGTGAGATGAAAGTAGAAAAATTTGGAATAAAAATGAATATGGACATAACAAAGATCATGTTTAATGTCCATGTCACACCTATGCCGGTAGTTGTTGGGAGCACTAAGCTTGAAGTTGTTGACGAGTATGTTTACCTGGGACAAATAGTCCGACTAGGTAAGTCCAACTTCGACCGAGAGGTCAATCGACGTTTTCAACTCGGTTGGGCAGCGTTCGGGAAATTACGGCACATCTTCTCGTCAGGTATACCTCAAAACTTGAAAACGAGACTGTACAACCAGTGCGTGTTGCCATACGGAACTGAGACGTGGTCCTTCTTTGCTGGCCGGATGAGGAGGTTCAAGGTCGCTCAGCGAGCTATGGAGAGTGCTATGCTCGGAATTTCTCTGCGTGATAAACTCAGAAATGAGGATATCCGCAGTAGAACTAGAGTGACCGACATAGCCCAACGGATTAGTAAGCTGAAGTGGCAATGGGCCGGCCATATAGCTCGAAGTACCGACAACGGATGGGGAAAAAAGGTTCTCGAGTGGCAGTGTTGGGGGTCCCTCCACTAGATAGAGTGCCGACCTGGTGAGATGTGCAGGAAGTCGATGGATGCAGGTGGCTCAGGAACGTGCTTTGTGGCATTCCTTGGGGGAGGCCTATGTTCAGCAGTGGACTTGTGAAGTGCTGTAATGATGATGATATCGATGATTACGTAAGTATTAAATGTTTATTTAATTATGAGGATGGACGCTTATTGTGCAATAAATCCATATATCTCCACAAAATTTCACATACCTACATAACACTTTTGTTATCGGTGTAAGTTTTGTAAAACAAAATCAAAATTGATCAACAACAACTTTTTAATTAATTTATTGCATTATTAAAAATAAAATTACCTTGTCAGGTCTCGTACACACGAGGATGATTATAACTAATTACCTTATATTTTTTAAATTATATTAATTTTGGTTGTAGGATAATGAGCAGCATGTATTATTCTTCCTACCTTTTTCCTTTGCTTTTTGTATACACGGAATTAAGCACCAAATACATCGGAATAACCTCTCGTCTGTGAGGCGACCTGGTCCCGGTTGCTGACAGAATATGCGCGTCTGTGAAGCGACCGGGAGCCGGAACCAATAAGTTGTCAAACCTACTTATTGTCAAGCTATGAGCAAGATTTTGATTTAGTTTTATTTTTATTAAAACAAGTCTAACACATTAATTTAATATCATGCACTAGTCACCCAATTAATGAGTATTGCTTAGATTTAGTGTGAGACATGTATTAATACTTAAAAAGTGATTATTTCGTAAAATAGATATACTGTACTTCCAAACCGCGAATCGGTCTCACCACATACAGCGTTTGATAGATTCTTATTTAGGACTAAGCATAGTATGGATATCCCCTGAGTGTTAGAATTTTTCAAGCTACTTCACAAAGAAGTAGGAGGTTCTCAATTTTCCTGATGTTTTTTTCATGTTTATTACCCGATTTTACTGTTTTTATTGATATTTATCATTGAAAAAATATTCTTCGTCGAATGGGATAAAATTAAAGTCGGTTGTTTGTTGTTAAAGTCGGTACTACTACAGGTTTTTAATTTTTCATAATATTTTTGAAAAGTGATGTTGAACCGTTATTTATTTCCATGATTTTTTTTTATTTCGGTATGGATTTCTTAATATTATTTCCATTTAGTGTTTTTATTAACTTTTTTTGTTTTGAGTGCTTTATTGCTTTTTCGATGTATAAGATCAACAACAAGAGGCGGACAGAGAAGAGGCGCCGGTGGATGCGGGGCACGCAGGTCCTCTGGTCCACGTACTCGGGTTGGCAGCCTGGTGTAGGTGGTAGCGGCTCCTCACTCATAAACATGCTATAAAAGTATTCCTTGCATTTATTTAAGCTCGAAACTTCATAATTCAGAAAACATCCATTTTGGTCTCGTATAGTATTCATTCTAGGCTGTTTTGAATGTCCCCTAGCAGTTCTTATAAGTTTCCGGAACATTTTTATATTTGCCTGGAAGTTATCTGATATTCTCCTATAATTCTTATCTGTTATTTTTTACTTTTTTCTTTCATCTACTCCTTTTACTCACTTATTTAGACATCTAAAGACTGCCTTTTTTCTTTCAATATAATCATTCATACCGCAAAATTTACCAGGCTTGGTTGGTAATAAATCTGGCCATGCTCTCTTCTTTGCTTCAATTTCCATCCGTACCTCATCAATCCACCTTAACGTATTATTTTTCCTTTCATTCTTTCTTTTACTTACACTACATATGTTGTAATAAATAAATAAATAAATAAATAAATAAAATGTACTTCGTTAGCTGCAACTAGCATGCATTTCTTAACATTATGCTACCCAGTCTCCAAGTCCAACTTATTTATATACAATTCATTCAAAACATTTATATTTTCTCTTATTATGCAGACGTACTTCTCTTTCACACATTTATCTTGTATTTTCTCTGTTCTTATACACTGTAACGCAGGTTTTCCTGCCGGAGATTCTTTATACCCCTGCCCCATTAAAGGGGCGCCTGTAACTTGAGGCCATTTCTTTTTTTAGTTTATATTGTAGTTTATGTTGCAAAAGTGAACGGGAGAGTCGGTAAGGGACGCTCTAGGTATAAGTTTATCGAACAAATTGGCGATATATTAAAAATGGGAGTACCCTTAACCGACGAGAATATATGCGTAGGTATATGGATGTGGAGGAGGCGAGAGAGGTGTGTCAGGAACGTTCCAAATGGAAGTTCGTAGTTTCTGCCTACTCCTCTGAATGACTGGTATGAGTGTTTATGTATTATGTATATGTAGTATGTACCGTAACACTATTACGAATGCATTAAATACCCAACCTAATGATTTACTCATATTGATATTGATAGTTTGCAACGTTATTTTATTGCGTGTTATTTTATAATTTATCTTAAAATTACACACAATATCCGTACATTACTAATATTTAGTAATTAAACTTCACAATTTTAAAGACATTGCATTATATACTCAATGCAATATTTGTTTGGGTTGCTTGGAGGGTGACGCGCCTGGTAACCGACCGTCGCCCGTTCTTTTTACCCCTGTAGACTTGATATCTTGGAGCCACCTGACTTGCGTGGCGGGCCCGTAGCCCTTGTCGTTGCGCGCGGCGATGCGGAAGATGATGGCGGGCTTGGTGGACGAGTCTACGTGCGCCGAGCCCAGCGACGCGGCTGGCACCACGCACGTGTTGGCCTTGCCGCAGTACACGCGCACGAACGCCAGCTGGGATTTCGCCGCCTCCTTAGGCTGAGTATTTGAGCGTACGGCGAGGTAAACAGAATATTCGAAAATCCCTTCAGCAGCAACTTGTGGTGGCTCCCACGAGAGGTGTGCGCCCTCAACAGACTTTGATATCTTTATCGCTGACGGTGCGCCCGGAAATCCTGGCAAACACGTTTTAAACGCAGATTCTTCACTGAATTCGCCGCGCCCACAAGAGTTAATCGCAGCAATTCTGAATTTATATGCAGTGCCATGTTCCAGTGGTGTCACCGGAAGTCCACTAAGATTCGGTAAATTGTCAAGGGATAGATTAGAAAGATCAACATTAGTGTCGGAAATGTAATTTTGAACCGTAAAAGTGGTGCCTTTTACGATACCAACAGTGTACCACGCGTCTTCGTCATTCTGGATTTTTTTGTTCTTCTTGCTCGGGCTGGTCTTGGTGGTGATGCAGCGCGGCCGAGGCGAGCGTGGCCAGCGCCCACACTTTATTCCCATCAAAAAGAGCGCGATGTCTTTTGCCAAATATTGCATATACGAGTATATAACCCAAAAACCCAGAAACCTAGAAAAGGTATTTTATGTGAGACTGCAAAATCATAAATAGCCTGTTTACATCATTTATGAAGCTTTAAAAACACAATAAATACATCTGAAATATAACAAAATAATAATCATACCACATCTAACACAAGCATTTTAAGCTTACCAGAAGTGATTAAAAGGGAATATTAGTAATGTTTAATAGCATTAAAAAAATGAATCATACAAATTGGCACTATAGTAGCGGTGTTCTATCACCGCAGTGCCATATTTTCATTCATAAGAATCCAGCATTTTATAAACCCGTGCGTGTCGTAAGAGACGACAGAAATATATGAAACAGGAAATAGGCTGCAACAACAACAACTTAAAATAATAAAAAAAACTGCGGTTTTCAAGCCACGTGCTAAACGTGGCAACTATGGCAAATATCTCTGCTATGAAGCAATCTATAGGGCAGACCTGTGTTCAACAGATTAGTCACATGACAACTGAGACGTCATTAGAGCTAAGGAGGGAACGCCGGAACAGTGATTGATACCATATAGTACGTACTAAGGACTGGAGGTGGGCAAAGTGTATCATTTTTGGGATTGGAACATTTGCATCTTGATCACTGAAATGTTCCGAAACAGTGATATGTTTCATTTGGCTCATTTGTATCATCGCCTCAAAAGATATAAAAGAAAGAATGTTCCGAATAGGTACATTAAGTTGCGTCGCGGGCGTTTATTACTGACTGATCCGTGAAATATTATGTGGCAACCATGCTGAATAATATAAGTGCTTAGATTATTTATTGTGTACCGTAATAAGATTGTATATAAAATCGATTCTCCTTCATAATTTAACAAAAATGTCACTATGTCAATTCATTATTTAGAAAAATGTCCATTTACACAAAACAGCAATGTCTATGTACACAGAATTTACTCGTAAAGTATCATAACTCTAAACTTTACGATGAAAAGGAAGAAAATAAAGTCACAATAATCACTACGCAAAGAAATCCTAAACATAACTCAGTATGTTTTCGTAAACAGGCGCTAATGAATATAAACAATTTGACAAGTGCCGCATCAACGTAAAATGTCAACTTGTTAATGCAAACGTTACATACAAAAAACGACCGTATAGTATTTGACACACAAGCGCCTTAGTGGTAATTTTTACGTGCATGAATAACGTGAGCGAAAATCCGTACGAGTTGAGGATACACTTCTTATTTGTTATCTCTATCTGACTTGTGTGGATTATAATTATTTCGGCCGCTCACTCGCCACTCGTGAGTCAATAGTTAAGTTAATCATTGTCTCAGTCTCTCTCTCTCGCTCGTGGCTCAGTCGCCTCGCAAGCGACGTGTCGCGCGAAATGAGCAAAGAGCAAAGTAATGTTTCACTGTTCCAGATACAAATGATACATTTGAAACGTTGTTACTGAACCAATCTTTTGTGTCACTTCAGTGATTCGTATCAGTGAGTCGTTTCCGTAAAGAGATACACACGCCTACTAAGGACATACTAGTATTATGTACGTATTTAATACTATTACATACTTAATACCGTTGGTTTATAGGGACGATTTAATTTTAGGTTGTTATTAGAAAAAAAAATCTCTAGCATCTCCCAAGCCTTGCTTTTTCCAATAACTCTCCCGTAGTCGTTCGACATGGTTGTTTTCTTTCTTCTAATCATCTTTCGTGATAGACTGTATAGCCTCCCTAGTAACTTCAAGCAGCGTTAATTATGTGCGTATGTGCGAGCGTGCGTGCGTGCGTGCGTGCGTGCGTGCGTGTGTGCGTGCGTGGGTGCGTGCGCTCGCGCGCGCGCGCGCGTGTTTGTTTCTATGTGTGTGTGTGTGTGTGTGTGTGTGTGTGTGTGTGTGTATGTGTGTGTGTGTGTGTGTGTGTGTGTGTGTGTGTGTGTGTGTGTGTGTGTGTGTGTGTGTGTGTGTGTGTGTGTGTGTGTAAAACGTTTTAATCTAAGTAAAAATTAAACGCGATAAAAGTCACATTATTATTACATTAATTTTGTTCGCGTAAATAAAAGAAATCATTGTATTGAATGAACAAACTTCGGGTAGCCTTCAAAATAAAATTATATATTAAATTTGCTAATAAAAAAATAATTCCATAATTTTTTCTTATATATTCTGCGTGTTTTACGTATAAAGATTAAATTGTCATCACTTTAAATTACCGTTACTTAATTTAACCAAACCTTTTAATTCGTCAATGTCCTTTGAAAAAATAAAAGCATGGAAAGTGAATCTTTTTTTAATTCACACGCTAAACATGGAGTTGCCTGCTCGCTACAACGCTGATTTATTTCATCTACTTATCCGTCGTTCATTCACAGCGGGCAAGTATTTTAATTAGCAAAAACCAGAAGAGCCAGGTCATTCGACAGCATTACCGTGAACCTGACAAGCGGTCAGTTTATTGAGCTACTCAAATGAGAAATATACTATTACAACTGTAAGCAATCAGTTCGTTAAAATAGCAGTTTTTTTTATTCGCTTTTTTATTAGTAGTTTCATTTAATATAATATTATCATAAATCCTAAATATTTTCTATATTACCTTTTAATTTCATCATAGGTGTACATCTATTAACACGGTCCTAAGCCACCTGCATCCTTTGATCTCCTGCATGTCTTACCAGGTCGTCAATCGATCTAGCGGGGTACCACCCTACCGACTCGAGAATTAACTTACCTTACATTTACAGCCTATCAAATGTCCACTCCTGAGATGCAATATCCCTACGCAGCGCCAGTGTATCGAGCCGATCAGAAAGAACTCGGTCATCGGCGATTCAAACCGCTCTGCGCTGGATGTGGTCAAGTAGAAGGAGCTGGCACTGGGGTGCCCCGGCCCAGAGATGAGAACAGTATTCCATGTGAGGCCGGATTTGCGCTTTGTAAAGTTGCAAGCGATGTGCCGGCATGAAATACTGTCTCGCTCTGCTGAGCACGCTAAGATTTTTAGAGGTCAGTTTGACCTTCCCTTCCAAGTGACCACGAAACTGCACACTGCTTGATATATCGACGCCACGGATTCCGATGCTAGCTGAGGCAGCAAGGGGATTGCCTTGAAACTGAGAATATCATTGATATGCAGGAAAAACAGCGTTGGCGATAGCACGCAGCCTTGTGGAACACCAGCGTTAATAGGCTTGAAATCAGAGCATGCACCGTGTACTACAACCGTGATGCTGTGATCAGCAAGGAAACTGGTGATCCATTTGCACAATTTTTTTTTAATAATTTAATAATATTCCACAACTATCAAACAACGCCATCTAGTCCCAAGCTAAGCAGAGCTTGTGTTATGGGTACTAGACAACTGATAAACATACTTATATATTTCTAAATACATAAATATTATAGATAAATTACACCCAGACACAGAACAAATGATCGTGCTCATCACACAAACATTTGTCCTGGGTGGGAATCGAACCCACGACCTCCGGCGTAGCAGTCAGGGTCACTAACCACTAGACCAACAGGCCAGTCCACAATTTCTCGGGAAGTCTATAAGAAGGGAGCTTCGAAAGAAGTGCTTTGTGCCAGATCCGATCGAAGGCCTTCGCTATGTACAAACTAACGGCCAATGCCTCCCCCTTGGACTCTACTGCCTCCGCTCATCTATGAGTCAGGTAGACCAGAAGATCACCAGCTGATTGACACCGACGAAAACCGTACTGGCAGTCACTAATCAGCTGGTTATCCTCAAGGTACCTCATGAGCTGGCAGTTTATAATGGATTCCATTATTTTGGAGAACAAGGAGGTTATGGCGATAGGCCTGTAGTTGGACGGGTCTGAGCGGTCACCTTTTTTAGGGATCGGGTGGACCAAAGCTGTCTTCCATGAATTCGGGACTACGCCTTGGGAGTAGGAGTACTGGAAAAGACGCGTTAAAACCGGTGCCAACTCCGGAGCACACGTTTTCAACACAATGGGAGGGACTCCATCAGGCACACTCGACTTGCTGATATCCAGAGAGAAGAGTGCTTTACGAACCGAGCGCTGTGTAAATTGCACATCCGGCGTGGAGCACTCACACCGCGAGATGGTCGGAGGTGTATTCCCCCTTCCCATCTAGAGTCGAGTTGGACGCTAAGAGAGAGCTTAAAAGATTAGCTTTCTTCTTTGCAGAATGGGCCAGTGAATCGTCCTCTCTATGCAGAGATGGAAGAGATGGTTGACAGAAGTTCCCTTGGACAGCCTTGGCGAGAGACCAGAATACACGGGTTCCCGAAGGAAGGCCAACTAGCTTCTCGCCAATTCTGTCGATGTGCCTGAGCAAGGTCTGAACCTTGCCTTGGCAATGAAGCTTTTGAAGGACCTGGAGGTGAAATTATACTTATTTTAAGTGCGCTGGTGTTTACATCCCGAGACGTTGATGCGTCAGCCCAGGCCCGGTAGCACTCCTGCTTATAGCGTGATGCTATTTTGCAGGAGCAACAAAACTATGACTGGGATCTGCCTCCGATGGGCACCACAGAGGATGGAATAAAAAGTTCCATACCCTGAAGTACCCAGAATCGACAACAACGCTGGGATCTCCCGGCGAGACGCAAACCCGCGCCCAAGAGTAGGATGCAAAAAAAGACCGCATCCCGTCCCAATCGGCCGACCTATAGTGCCAAACACGGCGGCAAGCTGCAGATCGCAACTGCGATGGGAGCGTGAGTGGCACCGTACTCCGGATCACACAATGGTCCATAGAGACCAGAGGGGCATCGACGGAGACCTGATATTCGTCCGGATGAGAGGTCACCAAAAGGTCCAACAGGGAAGGTATATGATCCTCCACATCTGGGATCAGTGTAGGCGAAGTAACCAGTTGTGTTAGACCATATGCCAAGGCAAAGTCACAGATCTATTCGCATGATCGGTTAAACGGGAACCAAACCATTCAGCGTGGTGGGCGTTAAAATCACCGAG